ATATATATATATATATATATATATATATCGATACAGTTTTACCCGTGTGCTCTGCACACTGTCGAAAGCGATAAGGAACGTATTTCTTTATCTCGTATTATCATCGTCAAACAAAGACGTTGCCTCTGTGAAGAGAACACAGATAGATAGGTAGTCTGATTTCCTCGGTTCAGCGAGTCAAGAACAAGAATGGCAGCTATTCCGAGGAACGTTCTAATCAACCTAACTTCTCTCCTATTTGCTCGAGTTTTACACTATGATTTAGAGCGTGTCTTTCTCCCTCTTTTCTTCGGAAATCGACAAGTTCGGAGAACACGGAAGGAGAGTCGCGCGGAACCGCAACCCCGCGCCGCGAATACTTGGCGGGTAGAGTGTAAGCCCTCGTAAAATGCCGAGAAGATGAGCAGGATGCAGTGGACGTAGTGCCTGACGTAATGCAGTGTGGGAGTGGCGTGGCAGAGAAAGAAAGAGAGAGAGTCAATGCCCTCGTCCCTGGCGACCACCGTTCCCCAACAACCCCGTGTAAACGAAAGAACTAGGAACCATTCCTGGGAAACTCTCGGTTCACCCTGTCACGTGGTTGAATTCCACGGTAATTCATACGTGCATGTAGGATTTAATTGCATCTAAGCATTTTAAATTCCTTTGCCGAGTACACAAAGCAGAAGTGGCGAGAGAGAGAGAGAGAGAGAGAGGGGGGGGGGAGAGGGAAAGAATTCATAGAAAAATAATACCAAGGTATTCTATTCCTTCCAATACGAGTTCGTTGACTCGGAATCTTCTGAAACACGTTCAATAATTTCTTCGAGCCCTGAAGCTCGAATTCTTCGTTTCCACGTCCGAGATAATAAATTAAAAATGACGCGACGATCTCGCAAGTTCCAAACGTCGACGTAAAAATGAAGCAACAAGAAACGACTGGCCCTTGGAGAGAAGAGACGGAACGCACGCTCCTATCCAAGCTCGATTCGATGGTAGGCGTGTAACGATCAAATCGGTTACAGTTTGAAAACTGTCCTCGGCAG